GGTTGAGTATGGTCCTAAAATACAGGAAAAAGTGAAGGCTATGCAAAGTGAAATAAAGAAAAATTCTCAAGGAACCAACTGTGAAGGGAAGGAAACTGGGACTCAAATCAATGATTTGGAGCATAAGGTAGAGATAAACATTCAACCAGGACAGAATGAAGAAACAATTCAAAAAAATGAGGAGAGGCTTAGGAACCTCTGGGACAACTTTAAATGTTCCAACATCCAACTCGTAGGGGTGCTAGAAGGAGAAGACAAAGAGCAAGAAATTGAAAACTTATTTGAAAAAATAATGAAGAAGTCCCCCAATCTAGCCAAGGAAATAGACTTCCAGGAAGGAAGTCCCAAAGAAGGTGGACCCAAGGAAACACACACCAAGGGACATCATAATTACATTACCCAAGGTTAAAGATAAGGAGAGAATCTTAAAAGCAGCAAGAGAAAAGGAGGCAGTTACCTATAAAGGAGTTCCCATAAGACTGTCGGCTGATTTCTCAAAAGAAACCTTATAGGCAAGAAGGGGCTGGAAAGGAATATTCAAAGTCAGGAAAGGCAAGGACCTACATCCAAGATTACTCTATTCAGCAGAGCTATCCTTTAGAATGGAAGGACAGATAAAGTGCTTCCCAGAAAAAGTAAAGTTCAAGGAGTTCATCATCACCAAGCCCTTATTATATGAAATGTTAAAGGGACTTATCTAAGGAAAAGAAGATCAAAACTGTGAACAGCAAAATGACAACAAACTTACAACTATCAACAACTGAACCTAAAAACAAAACCATCTAAGCAAACAACTAGAGCAGGAATGGAATCACAGAAATGGAGATCACATGGAGGGTTGTCAGTGGGGAAGAGGAGTGGGAAGAATGGGAGAAAAGGTACAGGGAATAAGAAGCATAAATGGTAGGTATAAAATAGGCAGAGGGAGGGTAAGGACAGTATAGGAAATGGAGAAGCCAAGGAACTTACATGTATGACTCATGAACATGAACTAAGGGGGGGTGTTGGTCAGGAGGATGCAGGGTGAAGGGGAATAAAGGAGAGAAAAAAATTGGACAACTGTAATAGCCTAATCAATAAAATATACTTTAAAACGTACAAGAAAAAAGAGTTCAATTTCCTGTGTGATCTAGGGAAAGTTGTAAATTGAATATGTAATCTCAATAGTTGGTCTGCTCCTCTTTTCCTTAGAGAGGATGGAGAATCTAATTCAGAAGAGTATGAAAACCAGGTAAATGCCGTTCAGGCAATTGCATATTCCCCCCACCCCCCCCAAAAAGAGTTAACTTTCTAAAAAAATTTATTTGCTAATATATATTTGCTAATTTTATTGAAGCGCATTTTTTATTTTCTCCTGGGAACAATTTTTTTTCCCTAAGAAATTTAATTTTATAGTTTGGTGAACATTTAGCTCAACTAAAACCAATTTGTCATAATAATTTGTTTTCTTTGCATGAAAGTATAGAGAAGCTGACACTTCTCTTGAAGAAGTTAGTGTTTTGGACTGGCTGGTCAGGATAGCACCTCAGCCAAGGACCCACAGGCATGAATGCCTGCGGGGGCCAGGTGGTAGGTGAATGAGAGAACTGGGCCCAGGGGAAGGGACTGTGGCTAAGTGGAAAGTACATATTTATTTCTGGGTGGCAGTCACCACTCAGATTTAATTAATAGTTGCCACATTGGAGTTGGGCCCAGAGTTGCCGTATCTTTTGATTTTCTGAGGAAACATCAAATGTCTGATTTATTTGTGAAATTTCTGACTCTTAAATGTTGGCCCAGTTTAAAACAAACAAAATAACACTTAAGTGAGCCAAACGAAGCACATTTATGGGAGATACTTGTTCTGTGAAGTGCCGTTTGCCATTTTTAAACTATCCCATTTGCTTAGACTGTAGAGTGCAATAACTGATGAATAACACTACTTACTAGTGTTTGTACTATGGACAGAAAGGGCGATTCTCTCAGAAATTGTAGTAAAATTAACTGAATGGGACTTGAACTTCACTCTACTCATTTGTCAGTTATTGTGGGGTATTAGCTAACTGCTGCATAACCTCAAGATTTTTTAGATTTTATTGTAGATTGGTCCCCCATTGTTCATCATGGAGGATCTAAGATAGGAGATGGGGGAAAATTCAGAGGTGCAGACCCAGGAAGCTCGATGAAAAGAGCCAGTCCACCTGTGCCACCCTTTAGGCAGAGTAGCAAGTGTCTTGCCTTCTGTCTTTTGGATTATGACACATGAATTCATGCTCCCTCTCACCCCCCACCCTTACATGGTTCACTGCCGCACTCTTTTATTCCTTGCGATTCAGGTAAACCTCCTCTAATCAGCAGAGTCCCTATTGCTGCTTTCCAAACATCTGTGATTGTTTTAAGAGGGCAGTTACTTCCTCTACCATATCCTTCCAAGTATATAGCCAAACTCCAAACTCTTCCCTAACAGCATCAAACTTCTTCTTGTATAAAAGTTTTTTTCATTATAATCAGACACTGAAATGTTAACCTCTCAAATAAAATTCTTCAAAACTAAGAAAATAAAAGAAAGGTGCCTTAAGCATAATTTATGAAAACAGTTTGGTAGGTATACAATTTTACTTCGCATTTTCTTTTCCAAAAATAGCTGCTTACTTCTGCTTCATAAGTTCTCAGGCTCTTTGAATATTGCAATTAAAAGTCAGCAAACTGGTTTGGAATGCTTTAAGTCGGTCTATACAAAAAAGGATCTTCTCTCTAATGAAGCATCATCTGTTCCATAATGTGAGTCATTTTAGATTAAACTGGGAGCTTAGAACTACAAAACAAATAACGTGGACCCCATTAATTTAGGAGTTATAATAATTTAGAGGTAGCTGGGTAAATTTTCTTGCCTGCATAATCTCTGGAAACATGTGTGCTTGACAAATTAATTACATAAACCAGGATATATGTTTAGCCTAGTTAAAAATGAAAGTCAGCAATTATTTTCAAACTCCATTTCCATAACAAACTCACACAGAAAATAATGAATCACAAAATGCAAATAATTCTTTGACAAGACAATCTGCAATTTGTATGAAAAAATGCCTGTAGGAGGTAGTATTTGGCAATATTGCCTTTGTGATCTTGGACAAACCACTAAAACATCACTGAACCTTTTTTCCTCATCTATAGAGTCATCATCTCATTATAAAGGTTGTTAAGAGAATTAAATTAAAAGATCATGTATTATTATCATTTATTTATCGACCTATTCAAGGTCTAGATTCCAGGTCTTCAAATTTCACTGTTTTTAACTGTTCTAATTTATTTGGTTGAGGGATTCAGAATAATAAAGAAAAGATTTGGCACCTAAGGACAAGTGAATTCATGTTTAAAGATGTTCATAGAACATTTTGTAGTATCTTTTGGTTGCCTTCATTAAGTTTGTGTTTCTTTTCACCACCTCACTTGTAAGGCATAAAAAAAAATGGGGGATCCATAAGAATAATGGGAATACATTGAATCTAACTTTACACATCTCAACTACTTAAATCTAGAAGAGGGGCAAATTGCCTGTGAGTCTAACAACAGATAGTGCTAAGGGCAATCACTTCCTTCTGGAATGGTCCTACAAACTTGATATTCCATAGATATTGAACAACTCTTATACAGTAAGAAGCTTTTTAAAAAATTACATTTTTGGGAACATGAAATTGCAGAATATTGTTTGTTTAGTAGGTAATATGATGACATGTTTAATTAATTGTAAACAAATAGAATTTTTCCTGCTTTTAAAATTTTACATTCATTTAAAGACCTGAAGAAAAAAGCTAGAGAGAAAAATGATTTTTAGTGTTATCCATGATTAACGCTGACCTGTCTAGACTTCCGAGTACCTCTTTCATCCAGTCTGAAGTGTTCCTGATTGTGGTACTTAAAAAAAGGAAGTTGTGATTTTAGAGACAAAGGCTGAATAAACAGGGTGTGAGCATTTTTTGAAAATTCTCTCTCTGCATCTTCAGCAAAAACTGTTTTATTTGCTCCTTAGTCTATTTGTTTTCATATTTTTTTAAAAAAAGTAACAAGTCATCTAAATTTGTAAGCAAAGTTGGATTATTTGTACTCCTCCGCCAAAACCTTGCAGTTGGTTTTGTTTTTTTTTTAATTTGCTGATTATAGTATGCTGTTACAAAGCTTATGAGCAGCCGCTCTGTGAAATGCATTTTAATATTTAGATCAAATAGCAACTGGACTACATTAATGCCCAGTGGGTAAATGTGTCATTTGAAAGCAGCTGCTGAGCCTTCTCCCTGCTGCTCCAATTAACACATACAGCATACTTTTGTCAGCAAGAGGCAGTGCATATGGATGAAACCACTTTACTGCTCATTAGTAGGATACGCAAGAGTGCACAAAGGGTTAATCAGTCTGCCCATCCCGATAGCTTTCCAAGAAGTTTCCTAAACTCAGAGTTTTGCTAGAAACGGTGTTAGATTAGGGGGTGGGATTAGCAGGTAAGAGAAAGTTGGCTCATCTCTTGCTTTGGTTCGGTCCATTGACTAGCCTGTTTCCCCGCCCCTCTCTTCTCCTACCCGCCCCCCTCCTCCCGCCTCCTAACCGCCCCCCCGCCCCTGATGATGGAGATATTGGATAGTGAAATTCTAGTGCTGGGACTCCCCTCAGCTGAATCTCTTGTTGAACTTTGTTCTCTTTTGTTGTGAAGCTCTTTGAAGGCCAAAGCTTCCCTGTTTGTTTTCTCTTTCTTCGTCTATATCATTTTACTTTCTCCCTCTTTTCCTTTTAAAATTGCACATTTGACAGTTGACCGGGCAAAGTAAGAAATCTTGTCAAGGCAAACCCCTGTCGCTGTTATTTTTCCCTCTCATGGCTAAAACCTGAGCGTCGATGGTAGCACAGAGGCAGATGGAAGGGTAGCGCGGCAGGGTCGGTGCGGGGCATTCATGCTCCACCAGCGCCCGGAGCAGCTGGGCTGTCTCAGCTCCGGCGCTGGCTGAGTCGAGCTGCGCGGTGAGGGAGAGATGGACCGCTTCCTGGGTTTCGTCAAGCAAATAAGGAGATCTAGGAGAAGAAAGGGGAAAAAGTACCGGCCAGAAGAAGACTACCACGAGGGCTATGAGGATGTCTATTATTACGCTTCAGAGCATTTTCGAAGTAAGCACTTCCTTCCACCCTCCTGTTCCTTCCCGCATGCCTGGGGTAACAATGCACCTTGTATGGTGCTTTAATCTTCAGTGCAAAAGGTAGTATTCTAGGTGAACAGTCTGTAAGTACTGAAGTGCTACGTATTGCTTGATATGTTGTGAGAATAACCTGCAGATAGTATCCAGGCAATATAACTAGCCCAAGTCTATACACATGATTAATATTTTAGGTGCAGCGAATTGATTATGTTATCATTTTAATGAACCATTCAAAATTACCTTGCAAGCCAATGTAGTAGATGGTTAAATTATGTTCTGTTGGAGTTGTTTTTAAATAACTGTGTTTTCTTTAGAATAGGGAAGGCTAGTTCATTTGGAAGAAATAATTGTTCATGTTCAAGTTGATGGTGATGATTAATGTTCCCAATACAGACTTCTAGTCAATTATCTGTGATGAATCGGAGGTATTGTTTGTATAAGGAAGTTCACGTACTTTTCTTTGATGCAAGTTTATAATTTTGTTATTATATTAAGGGAACTCATATTTGTTGTCAACTAGAAGCAGTGATACTTGTAGAATAAAATAATGTATCTATATTAAGGCTTTTGTAAATTAGCTTATAAATAGCTGAGACCTAGACCTCTTCTTATACTTAGCAGTCCTCTAAGTTCCTGGTGAGGTTTAGGCTTGTCCCAATAGATTTAAAATGCCCAGAAATGCCTAAGGGTGCAGAGAGAAAGCAGCTACATGCAGAGATCACCGAGTTTATGAGGTGCTCTAAATGGATAGAACCGACAGTTATATATGATCTACATTTACAAAATTAAAAATTATTTTTATCTTCTTGAATAAGGATCTTCATGAATTTGTATTTCAAGTCTAATCCTCCCTGGTCTTTTGATGTCTGTTGTAATATATCCCATCTACAACCTCTGAGTGTTGACTAATAAATAATTTAGAATCCATTCCTGTGGTATAAAACTCCATGAGAATTTGTTCTATGTGCCAGAAATTCTGTTGTGATCGATGAAAGTTGAGAGTTGAAAATTCATGTGATGGCAACAACTCAATAATGCAAAATTATAATTCTTTGACATGTGCTTTAATAATATGGCTATGTGGCTTTTACAGAGTAATCTGTGAGTTTTAGAGATGTTTCTCTTCTACAATGCTTTTACATAAATAATCTGCTCTAATGTAGTGACAATCTATGTTTCCTAAATTTAGTTTCCATAATATATTCAAGAATTTAAGATTTGTGTCACATCAAAAAATACTGTCAGCTGGCATGCATAATTCTGAAAACTTGGAGATAAAAAAAAGAAACTTAGGAACTTTAAATTACGTTATATTCATTGTACAAATTTCTTACAACCAATATATACAGGGTCCGGCAGAAGTAACACCATTGAGTGTGGTTGGTAGGGTAGGTGTGTGTCTTGCACGAGATAGACAGCAATTTGAACATTTCACCTAAAATGTCACATGGTGTGCTCGAGTGTGATATTGTTATGTTACAGAAATACATGCTTATGATTTTGTGATAAAATATTTTTAATGTAATAAAAAGGGGCATTATTTGTGCTGGACACTGTAAAATGAATCAAATTTATACCTTTTTGAGCTTGTATTGTGATATATTTATACAAATAGGAAAAAATACCTCTTTCAAGTACCTGCATCCTACTAGTTTTGGTAAGAACTTAAAAACAACAGAGATACTTTATAAGTTTACCAAATGTGCATGCCTACAAGGAGAAATGTTTGTGATGGTATCAAAGAAATATCGTAGGAGTTAGGAGAATGCTACAGCTAAAGCAGTAGTCTTTATCCATCAAATGCAGTAACTTAAAGGGAATCATGTCTTAACTTCTCTGATTTGTCAAGGTCATGCTAAGAATAAGATGCTAAACATCAAAAGTTATTTCCTTAAAACTGATATGTCTCTCCTGTGATTTATCAGAAAGTTCCCATTATGTAATACATAACTTTGTGGAGTTAGATGCATGTTGAGTTGCCAACTTTAGATGGCTGTATAGTAAACAGAATGTGTCACAGTAGATGCAGGCACTTGGAATTTGACATTTCATTAAACGTTTAAGTAGCCAGGGCTTTTAAAGACACGTAATGTGACATAATGATCTCTCAGTTTATCTTTTGGTTTCAGTTCCTGGGCATCTCTGAACTGGGTAGGGGAGCTTCCACTTATATTTTTATGGATATCAGAAAGTATTAAAGGGTGAGAGTGATCTGTAAAACCAATTCTCTCAAATGAGCAATATGGTTTAATTCAGTTACATCTACAGTGTATCTGTTTTAATTAGTCTTTGGCATAATTTGAAAGTTTATGACCTGCATTTCTGTAGATGGCTTAGGAAAACTGTTTTACAGTAAGGCTAAAACTTGGTGGAATTTACTGATGCCATCCACAGCTTAATGTTACCATTGATTAACCAGAAATGTTGTTGCTTTTACTTTCTTCCTATATTATTTGCTTCTTGAAGAGAGCAACCTATGGCTCTGTCTTGTCAGTCTTGTCAATTTACCTAGTGGTTTATATTACCATGAGAACTTTATACACGTAACAATGAAAGATAGAGCTAGAAAGATCTTCCCAGAAAATTCTCCAATAAGTCTGCTCTTCCTTTAGTACATTCTCATGTGCTTGCTGATCTCTAACTTTATCCTTAAATAATGTCTCATTTATGGTGGGTTCTGATTTAGAATTTTTTCTTCTTAAAGACAACATAGTTCATAATCTCATGAAATGCAAAAGCCTGAATTAAAATGTCAGGAGGACCTGAGCCTTTGAAAGAGAAGTTAATCTGAAAATAGATGATTTTTCTGTAACTCCATCACACTTGAGTTTTAGCGGTGATGATTGTGATGATGGTGATAGATTAATTTTAAATCTCCCCTGCTTTTATATTGATATGATATATGTCATTGTTCATGGGATGAACATATTTGATTTTTAAAAATCTGCTTTCATCACTCATCTATCCTTTCATAATTCCCAAGTTACAGCTTCTAGAAAAGTGTTTTGGGCAATTCCCCGAACTTTTGTGTGTTTTTATTTCCTACATTGTGACAGGAGGTGGAATTATTGCTTAAGATTTTTCAAGTTCTAGAACTACATAATCTTTTGCAGTTTTTGTTTTATTCTAAAACAGTTCAGAAAAACATATTGGCTAAAGAATTTTTAACTGTGATTTCCACCAAAAAAGTCACCTGGATATCTGGAGGGAATTGCTTTTTCTGGCAGGAATTGTGGGTAGGAAGATTTCTGTTGCTTTGAGATAATAATCTATCATTGAATATTAAGAAGTTTCAGAGAATATTTATAAACCTATGAAATTCTGAACATGTTGATAAACCCTAGACCTCATCTTTTATTTAATCTTATCTGTCAAGAAGCAGGATTTACTCTGAAATTCTGACATAGATGATTTGTTTGGTATTTTTCCTTAAGAAAAACCGGTACTGATTATAAAACTGATTTATAAACCTGAATGTAACAAAGAGCTAGAAAAGGATCTTGAAATTCACTTTTATTATGTTTGGTGCCTTTATTTGTTTTTAGTTAAATACTGTGTTATAGCAATGGCTTTTTAACAGCTCTGGAAGATAACATTTTGATTAATTTGTGATACAAAACATAAACCCTCTCACCGTATATATTTATTTTGCCACACTTGATAATATTTAAATTATAAAACAGGTAATGTATATTTTATAAGCCTTCTCTTAGTGCTGTTCATATTCATATTGAAATTCTGACCTGCTATGGTCCACGCAGGGCAGGGTTATGGAATTACTTTAAGAGGAGGAATTTATCTCTAATGAATAGGAGTCTGGGAGCCACTTTCACTTATAGCCCTGGAACCTTGGGCACACGTGTAGTGGCATTGAATCAGGCATGGAGCTCCTCCATGGTAACCGCCCTTCTCCATTTTCTTTGGGCCTCACTGAGGTGAGAGGAAGCTGTGCAGGAAAGCTGCTCAGGGCAGCCATTAGAGACCCTTTTACCTTTTCTGTTGATGTCCTTTCAGGGAATATGGTGTGGCTCTTTGAAAAAAAGGTCATTTACAAATAAACATATTGTTTTTCTTTGTTGTTTGCCTGTTCTAATAGATGTTGAGCAATACTTGTGATGTGCCTGTATAAAAACACTGTTAGCTAAGGTACTTTGTTAAATAATGTGCGCAACTAAAATGCCTGAGATGTTCAAACTGCATTTTAAGAGGGCTGCTCACTTTCTTTCATTTCATTAAAAAATGCCCTGCCTTGTTCCTCTTGGAGAAAAAATGTTTTTGGTAATAGATTTGTATAGCGTGAGAACTTTTTGGAATTGGTGTGGATAACTAGTTAAATAATTTCTCCTCACTAGTTCCTTTAACAGACTTTTTTTTTTCCTTTTCTTTTCTTTTTTTTCTTTTTCTTTTTTTTGGCACTTCATATATTCACATCCCTTCTCCTTCCCGGAACTGACATCTAATTAGGATCCTCTCTCTTGATAAGGGTGCCAAAAAGATAGAGTGAGAACTTTTACATGGATTTGGAAAGATGGCTGATCCCTGCTCTTATGTCTGTAAAAACTGAACACACCCAGTCAGAGGAGATGTTGCTTCCCTCAGCCCTTGGTGGTGGGTGATAAGAAAGAGGGGTTGGGGGAGAAGAGGGAGAAATGCAAGGAGAATGGGCAGCACATTTTATAGGTTATCCTTACCCTCCAAGGTTTACAAGCATAAAAGCCATTTATTTCTATGTTAAAAACAGTGATCATGAAACTGACAGGTCTTGAGTGTGAGATATTGGGTGAGGTAAGCCTCATCTGTATTTAGTTTGACTCAGGAAATCACAAACGAATAAGAAGAAACATCAGTTATATAGAAGCAGGAAAAACTTGCTTGTTTTGTGACTACATTGCTTATTTTTCTTTCCTAAGAATTGTTCTCCCCCTGCAGTATAACTGTTTTGTTGAAAATTGACTGGCTAACATGTTCCAT